GATGAAAATATATATTTCCTTCTGCAAAATGTTGATTTGTACAGGATGCTAATATATGAAGGGAGAAGGGGAAAGCTAACATATAATGGCCACACAATTCTCCTTATTCTGGTGTAGAGAAATTTTTACATAGAGATGCCCCAACTTAGGCTTTGACATTGAATTTCAAATAGGAATTTTTCCATGAGTTACTCTTCAAGGATCTCCCCAAGTTTTTCTTTTAATATTCATGAACTTTAAGTAAAGGAGGCTTATATCACATTTGCAGTAGCAGAACCAATCTGGCCATAACAAGAAATGAAACATAAGATGGTAGATAATGTGATAATTTACCAGTTCCCATCCATGCCTTGCGTATAGCATCTCTTTCATTCTTGCGTCCAAATCCTGTAAGTATTCCTATTACGACAAGTGGATTTGTCTTGGGAGTTTTATTCATCTCTGGTAAATACTTTGAAACAAAACCCTCCTGTCTGGCTCTAGCAAGTTCCATCTCCAAGGCTGATAGTTTCTTCAGCTGTTCCCTAACAGGCACAGAATTTTTTATAAAACTACATGAAAAATGTCCAGATATTTAACTACTGAGAATGAACAAGAAGAAGAAGTTGATGTCACCTGCATCCTAAAATTTTCCATGAATCGTCAACCGAAATAACAGATTTTCCCTAAACGTGGAATGAAAAATGTCAAGTTCACGTTGAAAATTTAATTTATACCTGATGATGAATAGAAGTGCGGGTACTGGATATTGAAACATCTACCTACCGCTATCAACCTTATTTCTGTGTTTATGTTTGGGAAAAGAAGAGCAGGTATCAGAACCGTGTCATTCTCAGGGTACATGGTCCATCATCAATTTCTAATTTATGTAGCATACAGCCCAGCTCTTAACTTGGCAATTTTTAAATGCTTATATGGAATTTTATAATCATTGCACACAAGTCATCTAAGCAAATACATCAACTACCAACTACTACCAAAATTTCTTATTGATGTCACAGTAGTACGTTTGCTTTATTTGATAGGATATTTGAACTCTTCTTTCTTTCATTTTTTTATTGTCAATG